GCGAGGACGAGCGCCTTTGCGCCGGCCTTCTCCGCCTGTGCGATGCCGTCCACAATGCCCTTGCGCACCGCGAGGCCGAGCGCGTTGACGGGAGGGCTCGAGATCTTGAGGAGGCCGACCCTACCGATGAGCTTGAAGGTGGCCATTTGGGGCGGCCGGGACCACGTGCAGGTCCGACGAGCTGCACGACCCGACTTCTGCTCGTGATGGCGCGCCCCGAATGTTTGACGAGGCGCGGTTTTTATTTTTTTCAAGAAAATCTTCCGCGAAGATTTAATCTGCCTGCTGGGAGTTTGTAAAATAAATAAATAAAGCACTTTAAGGTGGCAGTCCGGGTTTCGCGAGACGGGTGTCGTCCCGCAAGATGGCATCACGCTCGCACCTGCCGACCGCCGCCACGGCGGCGAGACGCCTTCTCCGCCACCGCGGCGCCGGACACAGGCCAGCGCTAGGCAGCTGCCGGCCACACTGGGCCGGATTCGCCGGTAACCGTCGCCGCACACTCCTACGTCCACGCCGCTGTGACGTCTGGCGACGAGGCGCCGGCCGCCAAGCTTCATCGCCAACGTGGTCGCTCGCTGGTCCTCTCGGCTCGGCCACGCGTTGGCCCAGCTCACACGAGCTCCAGACAGCCACCAGTCGCCACGCGCAAAGCGTACGGGTCGCCGGCTCCCTGTTGTGCTCTCACGCTGGCCGGCGTAAAACTGTGCTGGCAGTTGTCAAGCCGTACCCGTCGCGTTTCGAAAGGGAGCCCTCAATCGACGCGTCTACACGCACCGTGCCACCGCTCTCCACAACTGCTACCGTGGACATCAAGCTCCTCGACTCGATCTGCGGCTACGACGGCGCTCTAGCTGCTGGCTCTCGCGGGTGTCTGGCGACCCGCTCAGGCTTGCGAAACGGCCGGCCGCGGCGACGTGTTTCGAGCTCGCTGGCCTTCTCCGCGCGGCTGGGCCCGCCCCTAGTCGGGGCAGACCCGCCCAGTCACTGGGCAGCGCGTGCGCCGTCATCCTGGACGACGGTGTGCCGATGCATCCGGGAGGCTCCGCGGGGCTGCTATAGCAGCCTCGGGAGGGTCGAAAATCGAAGCCGGAGCGGCGGACCACGGAAGCTCCACGGACGGTGAGGCGGGCTGTGGTTGGCCCCCCCTGACCGGGTGAGGGAGTGGCGCCCCGGGAGTGCCGCTCCGGCGACGTCTGTGGCCTCCAAGGTACCGTGACCGCGGTGCTCGCTCTCGCGGCCGTCTCACGACCCGCTCGAGACGAAAACTGGAGCGGACGGTGCGACGAACCGCGAGTGGGATGGTCTTCTCCGCGCGGCTGGGCCCGCCCCTAGTCGGGGCAGACCCGCCCAGTCACTGGGCAGCGCGTGCGCCGGCGTTCTGGACGACGGTGTGCTGGTGCATCCGGGAGGCTCCGCGGGGCTGCTATAGCAGCCTCGGGAGGGTCGAAAATCGAAGCCGAAGCGGCGGACCACGGAAGCTCCACGGACGGTGAGGCGGGCTGTGGTTGGCCCCCCCTGACCGGGTGAGGGAGTGGCGCCCCGGGAGTGCCGCTCCGGCGACGTCTGTGGCCTCCACGGTACCGTGACCGCGCCGGCCTCGCTCGGGAGGCTCTTTCGGAGCCGTCGGCCTCCGAAACCGTCGCGTTGCTGCGCCTGGACGGCTTCGATGCTCGCCAAACCCGTCGGCACCGTTCATATACACATGAATTGTGAACGAACGCGCATTTTTCTGATACTTTACTCGCATATGCCGAAATGTTAGTTTCGATCTAGTCCTCACGGACACAAAACAGAGGCCTCCTAGCACGGAGAAGCGACTAAGAGTCGCCGACGTGCGAGTAAAGTGTCAGAAAAATACGCCCGGAATCACAATTGATCCCGTCGACAAGGCGCCCCAATCGCGGAGGTCTGGCGCGGGCGTGGAGGCGAGCATCGACGCCTCGACGGTTGCTCTTCAGAGGCCGAAAACAGGCGCCTGAAAAAGGAGAGAACGCGAGACTGATCACGCGCGCGGAAAAGCCCGAGGGGCGAATCTAAAGTGCCGAGGCGCTTGCTAATCACCCCAGCTAGGGCCACGGAGGCGCTCGCGGCAGGTCTCCGCGCGCGCGCTGGCCGGTGGCAGCTGATCTCGGGCGGCGGGCGGCGGGAATGGGCTCGGGCGGCACCTTTTGCCCTCAAAAGTCGTTCGAGAGTACCGGGTCGCGGCGGGAACGCGCCCATCCGCTCGATGGGTGTCAGGAGTCGATCGCCTGCGCCACGAGCGAGCACGGGAGTCGTCGCGATGGGAGTCGTAGCGGCGTGGCGCTGGGCTTCGAGAGAGCGACGTGGGCGCGGCGGCGCGGGCGGCCGGTGGGGCGCGTGAGGTCCGCACCTTCGCGACGGGCAGGCTCGATACGGCCGCTGGCCGGGGCGGCCGCTCGACCGGCCGCCGCGGTCGTTCCGGCGGCGGCGTCGGCGTCGGCGTCGCGAGCGAACTGGCTCGCATTCGACGAGCGACCCTCTTCACAGAACCCGGACTAACCTGAAAATTCTCTTCTAGCACCAGCTGTCACGGCACTTCCCTTTGTGGCAAGGTGTTGTGGCCAAGCATGCTTGCCGCCCCCGCACTCCTCGCTTGGGTCAGCAGCACCGGCGAGGAGGGAGCTGGAGGCGGTCTCTCCGCGGGCCCGGGCGCCTTCGCCTTTAGGGCTGCAGGCCTCGGCCCGCTGCCAGGAGAGGACTGCTTCTGGTGGTGTGGCGCTCGAGACGGGCCCTGTCACGGCTTCTGCGGCGCCGGCCGCGCCTGCTGCGCGGCCAGCGACGCGCCGGCTGACAGTTGCCCAGCCGAGGTGCCGTGCACGGAGGGCATGCACTGCTGCGTGGCCGAGTTGTCGGAACCGCCGCCTCCGCCTCTGCCGCCGCCCTCGCCGGCGCCGCCCTCGCCGCCTTCGCCGGCGCCGCCACCGCCCACCGACTGCCTGTACTGGTGCGGCGGCCGCGACGGCCCTTGCCCGGGCTTTTGTGGCGAGGGTGGCGCGTGCTGCAAGACGACCTACACGTTCTGGGGCGGGCTCGGACAGGCGGCGGCCGGATGTCCGATAGAGTCGTGCGACGGCCAGCACTGCTGCACTCCTCGCGCCCCAGAGCCGCCCGCACCGTCGCCGCTACCGTCGCCCCCACAGCCCCTCCCTCCGCCGCCGCCGCCGCCGCCGCCGCCGCCGCCACCCTCCCCGCCGATGCCGCCGCCACCGTCGCAGCCACCGTCAACGCCACCGCCCGGGCCGCCGCCGCTACCCCCGCCGCCGCCACCGCCGC